CTGGTTAACAATTCATCGGACAGACACACACACATACATGACACATGTGTGCGCGAGCGAGAAAGCGCGCGCGCACACACACACACACACACACACACACACACACACACACACATACGCCGCAGAGTACACGTGCATGCGCGCGAAACGGTGCGGTGCGGACGTGAACGGCGGTGCTGCTGGCCGCCGCGTCGCCGTGTTCCTGGAGGAGCGTAGGAGCGGCGCGATCGATATGCGTCGCTCTGTACGTCCGCTTTCCTAAGAAAGAAATTTCGTCGGGCTCGCGCGCGCTTTCGCTCGTTCACCCCCGTTCAGGTCGGCAACGGGTCGCCGCCCGTCGTCCATCGACGCGCGGATGTCGCCGGTCGAGAGGAGGCGACACGCGGCCGCGGCAGCGCGCCGACGTATTTTCGCGTTCGCCGCGGGATCAAGACCGGTTTAATTTCGGCGACGTCTCCTCGCCTCGTTCCGACGGCCCTCGTCCCCGCGATCGCGCGAAAATCATCGCCGCCGCTTCTATTCGCGGCGGCGGCGGCGGCGGCGACAGCGACGGCGACGGCGACCGGTGGCAGTGGCGGCGAGGAGCCGATATCGACGTAAGGGGCGGCTTCGACGGGACCGAGCTTGCCGGAAATTACACGTTCTCTCTCTCGTGTTTAGGGGTTGCGCGTTTGCTCTGGGAAACGATCCTGACACTTTTGCCGTTTCGTCGCTGCGCGGCCGATGTTCTCCAACGAGAGGACTGTTGTTGTTCCTCGTTAATGGAAGATAGAGGTGCTCTCTTTGGGATATTAGCCGTTTGCTGAATCACACGAAGGCAAGGCGGGGGAGGCGGAGGAGAGAGAGAGAGAGATAGAGATGTTCGATCGTCTTGAGACCGAGCGTAGCAATTTCCGGCAAAGGAAAAAATTCCGCCGCGCTTCGGTTCATCCGGTGCAGCCGCATTCGTGCATTTATGTGAATCCGATACGATACATCGGTATCCTGCGATGCGCGCCGGACGAGCGTCCTTTCGTTCAGACGTAACGTTCGGCCCGTCGCGTCGCGAACGTCGCAGCTTTCGAACGAGCTGCTGCTGCGAGGCCGAATATATCCGAAGAAGCCGCCTGGACGAAACCATCCAAAGTGCCCCGTGACTTTGCCCCCTTCGCCGCCTAATTAGACTTCCCCTCGCGGAATGCTCGCGGGTACTCGCATCCGATATGCCGATGTGTCCGAAATTGTTACCGGTTGCCCGTTGTTGTTCGCGTCTGCCATAAATCGATCTCTCTCTCTTTCTCTCTCTCTCTCTCTCTCTCTCTCTCTCTCTTTCTCGCGAGCGCCGGCGTCATGCCAGAGACGCATGCCTTCAACGTAGCATCACGTTATGACACAGCGCTCGCTCAAGAGCCGAGATACCGTCATTTTTTGCCTTTTCCTTCCTCGCCCTCCCCCTCCCCCCCGTCCCGTCCGCCCACCTTCTCTGCCGCTCATCGACTGACAATTTTGAAATTCTCCGGAACGCGGCGATTCTGAAAACAGAAAAAAGCCACTGGCCTCCAGTGGCGTATACATTGCAGTTTTCTCTTTCCCCTCGCCTCGCGTCTCGTAGGGATCTCGCAATTCTATGCTCGTTCGCAGAAGCAGAAGCAGAGGAAGAAGCAGAGGAAGAAGCAGAAGAAGAAGCAGAAGAAGAAGCAGAAGAAGAAGAAGCTCACGCGCGCGTGTACGAACGAGTTTGGCGAGGCGCGCTGAATAATTCAGCGCGCACGCGGCCGCCACTTGCGTGCGAGTCACCTTCGTAATCGCCTTCGTAAAAATTTTAGTTCCGCCGAGCGCTCTCTCGGCTCTCTCTACGTGCCCCCAACACTTACGTGCTGTTTGTTCGCGGCTAAGATGCCGCGCGCGCTCGCGCGAGATCCGTCCGGATAAATGGCGAGTACGGACGCGAGGTAATTGCAATTCCGCGGCTACTTACGTACGCGCGCGCGGCGAGGAACGCGGCGACGGCGACGGCGACGGCGACGGCGACGATTCGTGAGGATTATCACAGCCCTTCTCCGTTCGCGTCCGGTCTCGCCGCAGCGATCGTGAGCCGATAATGAGGACGCGGCGCGCGACGATAAGCGCGACGCAAATTCGGCCGCGATCCGAAATCGTGCTCGGAATTTCGTTCGTTGCGACGGCGCGGTGGCGACGGCGTCGACCGTGCTCGTTCTTCGCTCCGCGTCGATAAGAACGCAATCATCGACGTGAGAGATTACGTTTTCCCGTGGCTGGAGCGTCCTGAAGAGAGTACCCAAGAGAAAACCCGGCCTGAGATTACCCCCGCTCCTCCCCCAGCGCGCCCCGATCTATCTATCTTGCGCTGGCGTTTCTTCCATGTAGCGCGACACTTTCGTAATCGATAGTTCGATAAGCGTAGCCCGATTACACTGACAATGTCGATTGATAATCGCGAGCGAGCGTACGGCCGAGAACGCAATGCAGAACTTTGGGGAATATAATCTATACGTGCGATGCTCTCTCTCCCTCTTTCTCTCTCTCTCTCTCTCTCTCTCTCTCTCTCTCTCTCTCGCTCTCGCTCTCTCTTCCTCTCGAAGTGGAGCACATGGCGAGAAGGAGCGCGAGATTGGGAGAGAAATAGCAAGAGCGAGAGAAAAGAGAAAGAGAGAAGAGGAAAAAGATAGACATAGCATGAAAGAGAGAGAGAGAGAGAGAGAGAGAGAGAGAGAGAGAGAGAGAGAGAGAGAGGGAGAGGGAGAGAGAGGAGGGGAGAAGGTAATCAAGGAGCTTCTCGTATACTTCAGCCCCTTATCTATATAGACGTTCGTGCAGATAATAATTTAATGTTTCCAATTTTTATCTGTAAACGGTCACTTGTGTGTGTGTGTGTGTGTGCGTTGTCCGTCTCATCCCGAGCGCTCGAGAAGACCTAATCGGTCTAATCCGTCGCCATCGGCGCGATTATGCGTTATCTGACACCACTGTCAAATTGCCGCACTGACACACATACCGGGAAAGTGGAAATAGTATATAGGCAAAGCGGCGGGAGATGTAGGGAGAGGGAGGGGTAGCGAGAAACGGGCACCGAAGGAGAGACTGTGTGCTAGAGCGAGAGAGAGAGGGGGGGGAGAAAAATGTAGGAGAGAGAGAGAGAGAGAGAGAGAGAGAGAGAGAGAGAGAGAGAGAGAGAGAGAGAGAGAGAGAGAGAGAGAGAGAGAGAGAGAGAGGTGGGGAAGGAAAGGTAATAGGAGAAAGGCAAAAGAAACTGGTGGGAAAGGGGTGCGGAGGACAAGGGCGACGACTATGACGACGACGGTACGGCCGGGTACGATAAATTTTCACGCTTTACACCCGCCTGTAAATTCCTCGAAGTGGAGGAGATTCGTACTAGAGCGCTCACCGATGAAATTGATCAAAATCAATACCTGGTAGAGAGAGAGAGAGAGAGAGAGAGGGGGGAAGGGAGGGAGGGAGGTCGAGACAGAGCGAGAGAGGGAGAGAAAACGTAGGAAAATTATAGCGACTTTGCTCCTCCTTCTCCTCTCTCTCTCTCTCTCTCTCCCTTTCCTTCTCCTCCTAGCCACGGGTAGATCCAATTTGCGTCGTTTACGAGAGCGATAGGTTTCCTCTCTCTGTGATGCGGTCTTTCTCTAAAAGGCTCTTATTTCATCGGGAAAGGAGAAATAAAAAAGGAAGAGAGCGCAAGAGAGAGCCGATCGATAAGAGCGACCGAAGGCGACCGACCGACGGTTTCCACATCGCGTGGTAAACTGCATGAGGAAAAAAATCATTCAGCGCGAATACACTCCCGTGTTCCACGCAAGGCCGGACACCGTCCGTCGACCGCGCGAGAGACCAACCCCACCGTAGCTCGCCGATCGCACGCCTCGTCGCGCGCGATGGAAAAAGGCCTCGAGGCTAATAAAGCGCAGATCTCTCGTCATCGTTGCGATCTCGGCGAGGTTGATGACGAGATTACGGGCGGATGACTCGGAAATCTGGGCAGGAAGATCCTCGAGCGGCCACAAGGGAAGAGACTTCACCGGTGATTCTCGGAAGTGCACATACAGGCAAAGAGCGAAAAGGAGAGAGAGAGAGAGAGAGAGAGAGGGTGATCGCGAGCGGCCGGTAGCCGAAGGGGTGATCGGCGGCTAACGGGAAGAGGTAACAGAAAACGACGGCTGCGAGAGGGAAGCACGGAGAGAGAGAGAGAGAGAGAGAGAGAGAGAGAGAGAAGAGAGAGAGAGAGAGAGAGAGAGAGAGAGAGAGAGAGAGAGAGAGAGAGAGAGAGAGAGAGAGAGAGAGAGAGAGAAGGGAAGAGACTCGGGGAAACGGGTACATACCCCCCGAACGCGCGTAGCCGAAAAACGCGTCGGTTGCATCGCGCGGAGAGCGGTCTCTTCTCGCAGGCAGGGAAGCCCGGCTTTGACCCGGTAGCCGGCGCGACACGGCACAGTCCGCGCGCTGCCTGACGCATTGCAGGTGCGCGCCGGCCAATCACAGGCCCGGTTAGTTCGCCCGGACTCGTCCTGTAAACACGACCGCACCCACCCCGCCGTGTAAAACGGATTTGTTACGGGGCGGTCGCGGGTACGCGAGCCGGCCCGTGGCCGCGCCACGTCGCGCACAGCGCGGCGCGGCGCGGCGTCTCGCCTTCATCGCCCGTCTCCCTCTCTCTCTCTCTCTGTCTCTCTCTCTCTCTTTCCCTCCGTGTCCGCCTGTCTATCTCTGTCTCGGCCGATCGGCCTGTCGCACCGTCTCACTCGATCGCGCGCGTCTCGCTCTCGCTCCCGCGCGAGCCGTTCGCGCGATTAAAAACCGCCACAGGCTTTTTTTCCGCACCTTTCGGCAAGCTGGGGAAGCCGCGCGCGCGGGTCTAGCTCGCGACCGCGTAGGCGGCCGGTGCGTCGCGGCCGCCGCGCGAACTTACCCCGCCTGACCCCCCCGCGACCGACAACGCATCCCGCCGGCCCGACGGCGCTCGGCGATTGGCCGAGACGCGGGCCGTGAGGGGACGGCGTAGTGATACCCGGGCGACGGGAGCAGCGGTGGCCCACAGAGAGCCTCGCACACCGAGAGAGAGACACCGCGGACTCCATTGCTGCCCCGAGTGCGTTTCTCGCCGGACTTGGTGATCTCCCCCGGTTTATACCTGCGTGTCTGTCCTCGCGAGTCGTGCGACGTATAAAAGAGAGTTACCATCGCACCGCCCCACGGTCGGGAGAACGTTTGGCTGCGCTGAGAATCCTCGGCAGACCGTTGTACGGCCGACCGACCGACCGACCGACCGACCGATCGACGAGAGCGACCCACAGGAGCTACTCTTGTGAACAAGTACAACACGTTTGTTGTCTAGTGTGCGGGTGCGGGTGTTCGCAGCCCAGGAGAGCCTCTCTCGTGTATAACCGAGACCGAGTGAAAAAGGAGCCACGATGGTAAGTACTACCGCTTCGCGTTGATTCGCGTACGCTTCATTCGCGATCGCGACTCGCCGCTCGAGACTACCGTCATCGACGAAAGCGAGACAGAGATAGAGATACTAGAGCCGCGTGTAACGTGTGTAACGTCGTCTCCGTCGTCGTGATCGTACAATTCGCCGCCGTCGCCGCCGCAGCTTTATTTCCTCGTACTACGTATGCGTGACGTGCGCGACAAGGAGACAAAAAACCGCATCGTCGCCGCCGATTCGACCGCAAGGAGAGACCGTGAACCGTCGTGGGCTCTCGGTTCGCCGCATTGACGCGTCGCCGAGCGCACGTGCGGCGGCCGCGTTCGCAGCGAGCGAGAGAGGCAGCGATGTGCTGCGCGATTTTCGCCGCGATGAATACGGCGTTTAAACTCGCCTTTGCTGTCGCGAGCTCCATCTTTCTTTCCGTCTCTCTCTCTCTTTCTCTCTCTCTCTCTCTCTCTCTCTCTCTCTCTCTCTCCATCGCCGCTCGCTTCATTCGTTATCGCCCCGCTGTTGGCGAGACGGATTTCCTTTTCTGGAAGGATCGGGCGAGAATTTTTGCCGTCTTTCTCTCTCTCTCTCTCTCCAACCTGCTCGTCTCGTTTCCTTCCTCTACTCCTCACTTTTCTTCGAGCGTCGCATTGTCAGTTCGAACGTGTCTCGCTTGGAGACCGATTATCGATCCGTATGGGCCGTCTATATTTCCCGCAGCGTGCCTCTTCGCAGAATTTCTTCCACGGCAACGAAGAAAATCTGCATCATCCGTGCGAGCGGAAGTAACCGCCGATCGATCGTAGTCGCGTACAGAGAGCGAGAGAGAGAGAAAGAGAGAGAGAGAAGAAAGAGTGAGGGCGAGCGAGAGGGACAGAGAAAGACAGAGAGAGAGCGTGCGAGCGAGAAAAAGATGGCGGGAGGCTGTCGAAATGCCTCGCCGTTTTTTCCCCATTTACGTCGTTCCCTGGCGGAAAATCCGTCAAGATGCGGATACGGCAAACTCTGTCAGAAGCGTCGCGCGTCGAGTATGCCCCTGCGTGTCCCTCGGAATTTTCATCATCACGCTCGACTGGCCGGTTACGCGTTACGAGGTGGCGAACGAGAGACAGGTGGCCGAAGATCCTCCACGACGCAGCGGCTAATTTTGCCGCTTTGAGCTAGCCTGTTCGCCGTGTTGTCAGCTTGACGCGGGCGCGTCTCGCGCTGCTCGCTTATTGGACTCGTCGAAATGATCGACCGGCATCGCTACGGTGTCTTCTCGCTCTCTTCCGTCCATCCGTTCGCTCGCTCGTTGAATTTATGCGGCCTTTCTCTGCGAGAATACGAAACGTCGCACCGTGTAGACGTGTGTCTCTCCTGCTTTACGGTCTCTCTTTCTCTCTCTCTCTCTCTCTCACACACACACACACACACACACACACAGTGTGTCTATTTACATCTTTTTACACTCTCTGCACCCAACGATTAAATATACATTCAAAATTTGACGAGAGGGATTAGAGAGGTAGACGCGTCGCGGGGAGTGCAACTAAATACAACGAAATCGGGATGACTGGTCGGCCTCTCTCTCTCTCTCTCTCTCATCATCAAGAGAGAGAAAAAGAGATACCGGCCTACGGCGCCTACGGTGCTCTTTGACGGCGTCCTCGGTCTCTCAATGTTGTGACCGATTCCCGTCGCCACAAAATTGGAAGAAACGATGCGGAACTATGGCGTCGTCGTCGTCATCGTCTTTCTCATTCTCACCCTTGCGCGCGCGTTATCGCGCTGCCGCGATCTTCCTTCTCGCACGCCTCACCTTCGATCGGCCGGAGATACCCATCGGAGCACGAAATATAAGACGCGTACGAGCGCTCGTTCCGCACAATCCGTCACACGGTCACTCGATATTCGTCCTTAAGGACGCTCGGCTAGGATATCTCCGGTTATGCGCACATTTTTCATATGTGCGATCCGAGGCGCCGTGCGTTGTCGTTCTCTTTTCTCTCTCTCTCTCTCTCTCTCCCCCTCCCTCTCCCCCTCTCCCCCCTCTCTCGCGGCTTCGCAGGTAATACAAGTGTCCGAAACGCTTCTTCTCGGAGGCTCCCGAAAGCGGCAGAATGTCGCTCGTACTCGCTGACTCGGCCTGCCGTCCCATTCGCTCTCAACCCTTACGATCCGCGCGCACGTTGCCGCAACGTCGTATCCGTTCGGCGATCAAGCGTTAGCGGCGATACACGCCGCTCGCTATTGATTTTCGCGCTCCCTCATGCCGTGTCGTGTCGTGGCGTCGCGTCGCGTCGCGTCGACAGTCTCCGTGCTCCTTTTACGTTCCCTGTGCAGTGTAGCGTGGCGCGTACGCGTACGGTCGTCTATACGTACGCCGCGGATTCTCATTCTTCCGAGGACAGCCGCGACGACGCACGCACTCGCACACACACATACTCCCGTCTTCTCCACGTCGCGGCTCTCCTCCGCGAAGAGTATAGTCACCCTCCCCGGTGCCCGGAGAGAGATGCCGTATTCTCTCTCGGCCATATTCTACGGCGGTGTCGCGAGCGGCCGACGGGCGCGTCTGACGTTTGAAAAGTGAGGTTAACCGCTGCTGCTCTCTCGCATCCGGCTGCGCAGTGTCGGTAGATGCGCGCTTTCCCGTAGATCGGGCGCTCTTATCGAACCGAAATCTCCTCGATGGTAAGTGCCCCACGGGGGAGGTGGAAGCGGATCTCGCGCGGAGGTCCATCGTTGGGCGTGTGATAATTGAAAGCAGCGCGATCGTTAGCGCTGTCGAGTGCTCGCGAGAAGAACGCGACGGCGGCGATAAAGCCTGGGCTTCGTTGAAAAATAGTGCGTGAGGCAACGACGTAATTCGTTGTGTAGTGCAATTTCCTCTTATCGCTCGCTCGTGCGCGCGCGCGCGCGTTAAATTGATACACGATTATCGCTGCATTTTAATCCTGCGGCAAATGAGCGTGAAGTGGTCGGTAGCTGTGTATAATTAGCGGCCGAGAATAATTAGCGTGTCAAGCGTCTCGAAAGATTTCGCACTTTGCCACGAGACTTTCTACAGACGAAATCGAGAAGTGACGTGTTATCGACGTGTTAGAACCCCCGGTGGTAGGGTGGAAGGGTAATTATCTGCTCGCTGGAGTTGCTCGCAGAGAGAGACGACGACACCCTTGGCGCGTTATAGCTGTCCTTTCCGCGTTCATTCTCGTGCGAGCGCGGAACTTGATAGAGCAAAGGACGCGTGTGTGTGTGTGTGTGTGTGTGTGTATCTTGCGAACACATCGCGGATATTTCGTGCATTATAAATATGTATATGAATATACATTTGGAAAAGAATCAAAATTTATTTTCACATCGTCCGGCGATATATAGTCGTGCGTATCTGCGTTTTGTAAGCGCATAATATTTGCAATGAATCACAATTCTGCTTAAGCTCACGTCGAAATCGGAGTGATCCTCGACCGAGTCCGGGATTTCCGTATTTATACATGCACCACAATTAAATGTAAATGGCCGATGTATCATCGCGCTATTTCCGTCAGCCATTGTCACGCATCTCATTGCCTCGCGTTATTTGGTCTGTCTAGAATTAATTGAGCTGTTTATGAGGCTCGTCGCAGCCAAGATTTCCAGAGAGCGAGCCTATCGAGAGAGAGAGAGAGAGAGAGAGAGAGAAAGAGAAAGAGAGTAACGCGATACCGTAATCATTCGCTTTGCTAAAGTTGAAAGTTTCGGTTCTGTCGCAACTCGACGACTCGTGTCAGTATCATGTTGATGCTCGGACGAGTTATCGAGTTGAACTCTACCAAGAGGCATCATTTATTGTGCACAATCAATGCAACACGCGGTATACGTATGCAGTAATGTGCAAGGAACTAATCATGTATCTTGTTTCTTGGTGTTACAAAGGCTGACCAACTCACAGAGGAACAGATCGCAGAGTTTAAGGAAGCCTTCTCGCTATTCGACAAAGATGGCGATGGCACTATAACGACTAAAGAATTGGGTACAGTCATGCGATCCCTGGGTCAAAATCCCACAGAGGCCGAGTTACAAGACATGATTAATGAAGTAGACGCAGATGGTACATATGTTTGCTTGCTTATCCTCACGTTTACGTACAAATCTATTAATATGTCACACATTCATCGGTATATTTTTAAGCGAATTTATTTATTTTTCTTTCTTTTTTTAGATGAATTTTAAAATGGTACAGAGACAAAACTAAAATGAAACCTAATACTTTCGAAAAGAATTACCGATAGATCGTCCCTTCTGTCGACGAGCACTTAATACGAAAGAAACGATTGGTATTTAATGTTATAGAAATGTGTCAAAATTTCAGGTAACGGTACAATCGACTTTCCGGAGTTCTTGACCATGATGGCACGCAAAATGAAGGATACGGACAGCGAGGAGGAGATCAGGGAGGCCTTCAGAGTGTTCGATAAGGATGGAAATGGTTTCATATCCGCAGCGGAACTCAGACATGTTATGACAAATCTGGGCGAGAAACTGACCGATGAGGAAGTAGATGAAATGATACGGGAGGCAGATATCGACGGCGATGGCCAAGTGAATTATGAAGGTTGTATTACATTTTTATATTTCTGTCTGTTAAGTAGTCTCTACGTAGTCTTATGGACGATTTATCACCGGTGTGACGCGCGAGTAAAAGCACTGTCAGTTTGTACAGAACAAGTTTTATTATACACGTCTCTTTGAAACTTCATTCACCCTTGACATCATAATGAGAAATAATTTTTATACAAGTGTCTTCTCTAATTGTTTCATCATCACTTTGACGACATCTCATTATGTTTCGGCAATATATATACGCGTTACCTTCTTGTGGCTGTGTACGCAAGGCTATAACAATACGTTGTCTCATTGTATCTTTCAGAATTTGTGACGATGATGACATCAAAGTGAATGCAACCTGTGTAACGGAAGAACTTGCGACTCGGAGTGGTGTTGACGTATTAAATAAAATCAAGAAACAAAAAAAATATGTAACAAAAGAGAATCAACCAGAAAGTGATAAATCTTATATCAGGATGCGAAGATGTCTATAAAGCGCGAAGAGTCAACGTCCGATACGCGTTAAAAAAAATCATCGTTAACGATAAGTACAGGGCAATTAATTAATTGTTTAATTAAAGAGTTATACCACTAAAGTCATTATCTTTCAAAACACGAATATTTGCGCGTGTACACGAGGACACGTACACAAACACACAGAACACGTAAGCTCAGGAACACGGTACACCGATGATACACTTAAAATTGGTGTGTGTATGTGTGTGTGATAAATACACACGGCATACGGAGTATACATATTTTACACACATTCACACTCGGATGTCTTATTTCCATTGGATAGAACAAATTGGAAGTGAGATACGTGGAGAAACAATTGCGCGCGCGCATGTGCACCAACGATAAAGGAAAAAAAATGCATTTTCCACTTTCCTCTCTTTCTCGACTGCCCCCCCCCCCCATCTTCTTCCCTTCTATTGTCGCGTCCTTTTCACTATCACCCAACTCCTGATCTCGCACCTCAATTCCTCATCTTCCCGAAGAATATTTTCTTTTTCTTTTCGAAAGGCATGTCGGAGAAATGTAATCTCTTGGAAAGGGAGAGGAAATGTGCGTTAGGGGACAAAGTGAAATCCAATGTAAGATATTGAAACAGCAAAGTTTTATTTGCCAATCGAGATTCGTCGGGAATATTCCTTCGTTTGTTCTTTTTTTCATTTTTTAATAAATGAGATACGTGTATAGTGAATGAACATTAGGATACGTAGCTGCTATAGTAATATCTCTACTGTTAAAAAAAAATGCATGCACATGTACAAATGTTTGTTTGTCTCGTGAGAGGGAATTCGGCCTGGACATAGTTTTCCAGAAGGGGAGAGAAGAGAAAAAAAAGAGTGAGAGATATAAATATGATGCTTCGGCCTCGGGGTTATCGATGACTCAAATGCAAAGCTGGACCTCTCGATGCCACGTAATGAATGATTTAATTTATATAAGTAATGAGCGAGAAAATTTATAAAAAAAAAAGAAAATAAGCAAGAGAGAGAGAGAGATAAATATGATGAAGAGCCTCGAAGAACTTGGATTTTAGTGTTTTCGCGCATCGCGTCTTACCTTACGGAACGATGATGATGGTCGTTTTATATGGATCATTGGACATTGAACAAGTTGCGACGATCGTTGATAGAGAGAGAGAGAGAGAGAGAGAGAGAGAGAGAGAGAGAGCTCCAGTTCGAAGTCTCGACATTCCTATTTGAAAAAGTCTCTTCCTACGCTTTTCAATTGATCAACATCAATCCAACTTCTCGTGTGTTCGTGCGCACGGGACTCACACGTACAACACGTCAAACGAGAAACTACTATATAAACACAAAGATACACACAGAGCAACTAAGAAAAAAGATGAAAAGAGATAAACACTATCTATAATATTCACAAAGTGCGTTTTGCCTCCAGTTCCATTTTAATCTCCTATTTGTAACTTGCCTTCCACACACTGGGAAAGCCTTACATACATGCGCGCAAAAAAAGAAAAAAAGGAAAAAAATCGAAAAAAAAAAAGAAAAACGACGTCGACACCACTTTTGTTGATATAATAAATCATGGAGAAAAAAAATAGGGATGGGGGATTAAAGGAAGTAAAGGCCACAGTGATTGGTGCATTACTTTTCTTCGCCCAGGGGTGCGTGCCAGTCTCGTAAGCGGAGCAACCAGACCGGAGAAACTGGTGTGATTTTTGTGCGATCCATACGATAATGTTACTTAAGAACTTGAGAGCAAAGAACATAAATGCCGTACAGCGTAACATCATGCGTATCGGTGATTCAGTCATAATATATATGTAATATATATTATATATATATATATATATATAAAATTAATTTACGAAGAAATTAAGAAAAAAAAAAGATGAAAGAGATAATTCCTCCACAGTCCTTTATTATTTAATATCGAAGTGAGCAAAATGAAGAAGTACTTGTATTTCTGGTGACCTAGATCGCATTGATGATCATTAAACAGAGAAGAAAAAAAAAACCAAAAAAAAAGACAAAATAAATGTATCCTCATTTTTAGGTCACAGCTAACTCGATTCGTTTCCTTCATTACCAATGGACCTCTCGTTTCAGCAACCATCTTTTTTGTGTTCGATGGCATCTAGATACTTTGCTATGAGAATATTTCATTGTCCTCTGTGAACAGATCCACTTTACATATCTAACTTTTCTCGCTAAATCCCACCTTGCCCTCCGAAAAAACTCGAGGAGATTAGACATAGGGTTACAAGAAAGTACGGTATTAATTGTAATTAGGAAAACTTGCTCCGTTACACCTGAAAGAAAGAAAGAAAGAAAGAAAAAAAAACTACTAAGCACATTGGATCTATTTGTGTACTGTGGTATTCTGTGTCCGAGGTGTTTCCACACTTTATTAAGGGAAGAGAGAGATCGTCAACACACACGTTTTTGTAAAAGTGGTTGTTAGTATTCGACAGGCATCTGTATCTAAATGCTTCCAATCGCTTCGTTTCATCGAACACTGATACCTAGTGATTAAGTCTCTTATGTTACAAAGACTCTATTCCAGTATTTAATAATAGTAATTTTATATATCCGTATTGCAAAATCTATTTATTGAGAGAATTTTCGCGCGCCGAGTTAGCGGCGCATGGAAGCTCTTGTTGTGAACGTTAACATCGAGGCAATGCCAAATCTTACTGAATAATATGAAAGAAAGAAAAAAAAAAGCGTTAGTTCATCTAATATTTAATTTAGCGTCCCTGATCTTTGTTATTGAAATACACGTTGTTGTTCTTAAAAATTGTTTATTACCGTATTTGCTTATATACCGCTGCGCGCAGGTACCAAGACACATCCTGCCTCTTCGAACGTTGTATTTATTTCAATGTGTACATACGAAACGTTATTATCCATTAACAAGAGATGCGCTTTCGTTCGGTTTCAACCAATTGTAACTTTCTCGAGACTCGCGAGCTCGTTTGCGATATTAAGAGGAGAGAAGAACAAGATGATGGTGGTGATGATGATGATGATGATGAACAAAATCTGTGCTTTTTCTATCGAATCGTTTTTTCGAGCGCGGACCTCGACGTATACACACACACACGCTCCTTTTTCCTTCATTATTTTCCAACAGGTACAGTAGCTCTATCGATTAATACTCTGATTTTCTCGTATTCTATTCGAACATTGTTTCTATAGTGTATGTAAGTATATTCTCTCTGCCGTATCAAAGGCGTTCTTCACTTCTTGTCGTACATAAATAAAGCGGCACAGTTTGTATAAAGTGTTGATATTAAGTTAATAAATTGTTCCTATATATACTTATATGGGAGCAAAACTGGTGTTTATCTATACAAGCAATTTTATCTCCCCGAACGAGAAAATAACGGCAACCACCCGCGAGGTGTTGCGATTTCTTTAGATTGTTGTCCGAGGTAGCGCTAAATAGCCGTGGAAAACGAGTCTCCTCGGGATGCGCGCGAATTCGCGCGACGATTAGCCGTCTCTCGCGCGAGATTGTATCGCGTTTTATCATCGCGTCGTCGAGTGATCCTGTGTCGAGGTATTCGCTTCGCATCCGGTAGAAAAGTTAAAGGGTACAAACACGGGTAGCTTGGTTTGTTCTTTTCCTTTTTTGCAAAATATATATTTCATTTTTACAATTATTTGTCGTATATACATATCTTTATCTCTTTCTCTCCCTCCCTCCCTTCCTCCCCCCCCTCTCTCTCTCTCTCTTTAAATTCTGTCATGTAACACGATATCAAAATGTGATATCACGTAACACGATACGATGCAACAAAATTCGATGATTACGAGGATATGTTTGCACCGGCGGCCCGTCGTCGCATCTTCTCACGACACGCACTCTTTCGGTACGACTTTGAAGTGCAGGCACACGTCCTTCAGCATATTTTTCAATATTTTCACCTGGTTGTCGGAACTCTGCAAAATTGCACATTCCCATTTATTAATTTTTTCTTTTTTAACAGTCGGCGCTTTGACGCGAGAATACACGAAGAGAATATCATCCGGAGCATTCTTTCGTTTAAATTCTTGCCAACTTTACGAGATATTCTAGCGACTTCGTCAGCGAGGAGCTGCCTATCGTGCTGAGGAATATGGAAGCAAATTTTTCTATTTAATAGCATTATATCACACATGAAGGATATAAATCAAGTCGGCCCATCGAATCGTTCGTTCGAAATCCATTGGGATTTAAAGCATCAACGAAAAGAAGAACTGTCTGCGTAGCGGTTGGAAAGGTCGAGGCATCTGCAAGCAAAGCTCCTCCGAGATTGCCATTGTAATTTCTATCTCTACTGGAAGGATCATTTTGCCGAAAGGACCCGCCCCGGACGCCGCCGCTGCGACTGCAAAACGTCGCACGCGGCGACCAGCTTGAGGCCGGCGTGTGTTTCTCGATTACGAAATTTCACTTCTTCCTCCTAATTCCTCTGCCGCGCTCGCTATTCTCTCCGCGTATCCTCGCGTCGGCTGTCAACCGCAACAGGATGATCCTTACCCCGTCGAGAGTGATCGTCGGTATGAAAGACACTGCCGGCACGAGCGACTTCGTCATCTGCCCGTACTTGGCCAACAGTTCCTTGCCCGTGCTGGTGTCCGAGCACTTCCTGATGGACTCCGCTTCCACGGACGCGTTCAGCCTCGCGGCGCACGTATTCATTATCTCTACCGGATTAATGTTATTCTCAATCATGCAGGCGAGAAAGTCTAAGCGTTTCGACGGCTCTCTAATGGCGTCAATGGTGCACGCATGTATGATGTTCGCTTGACATTCGATCGGCCCGTGCTGACACTCGTACTCGTATCCGTCATTTGTCTTTATGGTCTGCGTATAAAACGAAACGTTTCATGTAGTAGACAGAGAGCTTACTCCTTACTTGACTCGCTTCGCGGCGACGTGGTCACAGTGGTCACTTTTGCCAATTTGAATGAGCAAAAGTCAAAAATCCGATTGGACGTTTTCAAGTTTTTGATTGCATAAAAATCAGCCTGAATACCTGGGAGTATGAAATCTAAGAATAATAGATTTCAACATCGAACGGGGAGTAAGGTGAGGCTGCATTAAACATGATCCTGCAAGTCTTGACGCGCTCGCGCTTACCGCGGCTCGCTCTCGCCTTCGCTTTAACAAATGAATGCACGCTGAATAGAGCTTTTTCTTTCTTTCTGTTCTTGATATGGATTCTATAAAAATAAGTAAGCAATTTGTAATTTAAAAATAATAAGAATTTGTTGAATATGGGTAAAGATTTATGGCTTTAAAAATAGTTTTACAAATTACTATTTTTTTTAATATTGTGTTAAATTTGATAAAATAAAAAACTTCGGACTGACGTGGATTGGTCAAGTTATTTGGATAAAGTTATCCAATAACTTTGTAATAATTGTTTTAGATTAAATTTAGCTACAACTATTCACAACTTTAGATGTTATGATCATTTTTAGATTTAGATATGCGGAGTACAATGAGAAGCATTATTTAACGTTTGGCGGGATGAACCAAACGTGAATAAAAAAACTAACGCAGTTTTGAATTTTTTGATGCAAAAAAGTGATTTCTTGAAATATGAGGAAGATTCTAAATATTTAATTAAGAAAACGATTACAAATTTTTGCAGTCAATTAATGTTAAGATGGAAAAAATGCCATCATATTAAGAATTTATTTGTCTTAAATGATGAGAAATGGCTCGGCGAGAAAAAAAATAAGAATAAAAAATAAGTAATAATAATAGATAATAAATTAGTCTTCCATCTTTTCGTGAGGTTCTTCAAGCGTTAATTATATGTTTTTTATCAGATCATATAATTTCGCTCGCTCAGATCGACAAAAGTGACCACTGTGCGACGCCGGCCCGCGGACTTTGCAAGGACGATAAGAAGGAAAGGAGAGAGAAAGAGAGAAAGAGAGAGAGAGAGAGAGAGAGAGAGAGACGCGATCACACGGCGCTCGTTCATACCGATCGCACCTTCGCTCTTGAGAATATCTTTGCAATATCACTCAGCTGTAAAACTCCTGTTTAGGGGAGGATACTGCGATGACACTGACCTTGATATATGTATTGTCAAGGACATCATTCTGAACAACATGCAAAAGGTTTTAGCTCGTTGCTTGTTAAAAAGTTATTAACAAAAGAAGTTTCATTAATCGAGTTTCATTTTAATTTTTTGTACATTTTGTACATTTAGAGTACGCCAAACTTTACACATACGTGAACAGAGGAAATGCTTCGCATTCTTAGAGACACGTACTGTTTATACACAAAGCAAATGTTGCTGTTTATTGGCGAGTTATAAACAAAAGAAGTTTCATAAGTACGATGCAGTTTTAACATGTTTTCCTATAATACATATATTCTTAGATATTAGAAATAACATGAAATAACGTGAAAGCGAATAGTTTAAACTGTACTTAAACGATCCAATGGAGACGCAGAGGTTATCAGCTCGAAAAAAGCATCAACGCGTTGATCGAAAAATCGTATTACTGATTTCTAAATTGATAATACTACCATATACTAAAATTATAGATTCTGAAGAGATTAGCAAGGGCAAAGCAACTGTGTAAAGCTTACCGTACCTAGATGTACACAGTGTCGAAAAATTACGCTCGATTAATGAAACTTCTTTCGTTAATAACTTTTTAACAAGCAACGAGCGACGGCTAAAACCTTTTGCATGTCGCTCAGAATGACGCCCTTGGCAACATATGTCAAGGTCAGTGTCACCGCAGTATCCTCCCGTGAACACAGGAGTTTTACCCACTCAGCATCTCCAGGAAAATCAAAAAAGCCACGTCGCGATCGGGGTCTATCGTTCGCAAAGTTCGGCGGGGCGGAATTTTCGAGGCATCTACTTCCAGTTCCCAGGGGCAGAATCGACCGGGTCTTCGCCGTGGGTGACTCCTCGTGATCAATTCGTGCAGTTGACACGAAGGATTCGATCGGTGTGAAACAGAGGCCGTGGACGGAAAACCGACGCATAGCTTCTCGTAAGCGCGCGGCTACCGGAAGAGCCTCCCTTCTCACCGCACCTTCGCCTTGCCGTACGGCACCATCTCGACGTCCAGATTCGCCGACAGTTTGCGATACGTCGGCATTAGCTGCTTCACGACGAAGCTGCGCGAGTCCGGGCATAACGCCTCGTAATACACGGCTATGTGCACCCTCTGCTGAGCCGAGTCATCCTTCAGGCCCGACGGCGCCGCTGTTTCCTCCGACGCCTCGATCCCTACAAGATAAAAGGTTCGCAGGTGTATCCGGAGGATTCGGGGCGACTTGATAAATAGCGAGCGGCCGAGGCCGCGCAGTCCGTTTTCTTGCAAGTCCGATGGGGACAAGTGTTTGGAGTGAAAAAAAACTCTCGCTCTGTATACGTCGAGATTCTCTCGCGGTGCTTATTCTGAGTTGACTAAAACGCGACGACAAAAGTGCGCCGAGAGCGAAGATCGTGTCTGGGTCATGGTGGATTCCGTCTTGAGCTCCTCGTCGGGAGCATCACTCGTCCGCTTTTTTCTAATCAAATCTTTCGACTGGCGACAGAATAGCACACGGGAAAAAGAAGAAGACTCGCGCGGTCCCTTCAAAATTCGATCGTCTTCTCCAGCGACATTGAGAAACTCGTCCAGCCTCGAAGAGAGGCTGGTCGTCGCGATCTCATTCGCGAGACCTTGATCGCCTGCTCGAAATCGCTTGATCGAGGACGAAAAAAAAAGAAAAAGAATTGCAGCTGCTCTCCCGATTAATCTTCCATGCCGGAAAGCACAATTTGTGAGTCATTGCTTATCTCACTGCTGGGAAATGATAATGACTGATAATGGCGGCCCGCCCGTTGATTACGCGGATAGTTTAATCTGCGGCGCAGACACACTCACACACACACACACACACACATCGTTCCTTTTTTAGCGTCGTATTTCTATTATATCGATCTCTCCCTCCCTCTCCGCCGCACACATATCTTTCGTGTATAATAAATTAATCGGGGGGGGGGCGATTATTCCCCCCCCTCCCTGCCGGGCGTGCGAGGTAGCCAAAAGTGGTGCTGGCAATCGCGAGCTGACGGATGTCAACTCGAACCGTGCAATCAATCATCGCTCGAGTCCCGGCGGATCGGCGATTACTCGACGCGACGGCCGAAGTCATCGCGCGAGAGGAAATGACACAGTGCCATTCCTCGAGTGGCAATTTCCCGAACGGCCCGGGACTCGAGATCGAGGCGGAAAATTTTCGTGGCGGATGCACGTACACAACGCACGAGGCTCGCGGCGAGTCTTTGTCTTTCATTTGGAAAATTTCCCATACAGCACAGACAATTGCAGCAATATTGCTGCAACGTTGCAACATTGCACATTGCAGTGCAATATTGCAGAGACATTGCGAGAACAATATTTTGCATTATTATAATTATAATTGTTATAATTATAATTATAATAATTATTATAATTATAATTATTATTACAATTATGGGGTACTTTGTATATTGCTCTAATTCTCATATTTAATCACCACGATTTGGTTTTACAATGATTTAGTTTCATATCCCAAACTTAGACGTCTTATTAATTCCGCAAGTTTTTAAAACCTGTATTATTCCAAATAGCAAGGTGACATCTTATTGACGTTCTATTGAGTCAATAAAGCGTCTCTTTAAGATATCATTTTACTCCTTGAAATATTACAGATCTTGGGAACTTTCTTGTTTGACTATTCTTGTTTGATGTCAGAAATGAAAACAATGGTGCATTAATCTTTTTTTTTCATGTACGTTAAAATAAGAGATCTCCACAAAACGACACTTGTGATCGATTTTACAAATTTGTAAAATGTTCCGAATACTTTTCTTTTGCTGTATGATAATCATTCACTGCAAATAATTAGTGAAATTTATACAAATGTTGAGTTGAACATATTATCTCTCATGATTATTGTTACAGAATTTTTATGGAAAATTATTGATCGTCACAACAAGAGGAAAGTGTGTCCAGAACATTTTATAAATTCGTTAGGTCGTTCACAAATATCATATAACTACGTAAAATAATTTTTGGCATACGATTTTTTGCTTCTGCCGTCATTGAATAAAGAATCACAGAGAATCTCCAGGAGAGACTCAATATATATACAGAGTGTTTAGCAGCATCCTTACCAAAGTTAGTATACAGGGTGCACGATTTATCTGAAGACATTGAAATATCTCGAGAACTATGTATTGGATAAAAAAAAGTGGTTAATGAAAGTTGTTAGTCTCGAAGGGGGACATCCAATAATACCAAACTCGACCTCCCACCCCACCCCCTGGGGGTGGGGGTTGGGGGCAACTTTGAAATCTTAAATGGAAACCCCCATTTTTTATTGCAGATACGGATTCTACGCCACAAAATACGTAAATTTTGTCCGAAACTTTTTTCTTGATTCGTGATAGATGGCGCTATAATCGCAAAAAATTATATTTTCCGCAATTCTCCAGAAATGATCATTGGATTGAGAAATAAAAAATACCTGTTCAATATTTTTAAAGAACATAATAAAAGTTATTCCCCCCCCCCCAATAGAATAGAATCAACCATGTGAAATTTTGTGATATTAATGATAAAAAATTTCTACCAAGAGAAAAAATTCTACCAATTTCTACTTTTGATAAAAATTTTTTATCGTTAATGTCTCAAAATTTCACGTGGTTGATTAAAAAATGACATCGATTCCATTACTAACCACGATCTATTCTAGCTATATATTAGTTTTGATAAGGATGCTGTCAAACATCCTGTATATGTATATATATACATACATATATATATATATATATATATATGTATAAAGCATTATTGCATACAAATTATATTATAAACGTTGCTGCAATGTTACACTGCAATATTAATGAAATATTGCAATATTTCATTGCAATATTGCTGCAAGCGGACATTTTACCTTTGCTGCAAGATTGCAGCAACATTTCGCATCGTTTCTGCAATGCTGGCATCTTGCAAAACAACGTTCCTGCAATGTTGCTGCAACGGTGCTGTACTGTATGGGAAAGATGTCTAAAAGTTGTCTAAAAGATATCTAAATAGATTTAGTTGAAGATATCTTTATAGAATTTCTAGAAGATATCTACAGACACCTAAAAGATGTCTTGAAAGATATCTTTAACATTTAGATCCCTAAAAGGTATCTTTTCGGAAAAAATGTAAGATATCTCAAGACACTGCAAGATATCTTTTAGAAATCTAAAAGATATCTTCTCGTCTGTCTGGGAAGCAGCTTCAGCGGGGAGAAATTTCGCTATTGAGAAATTGTAAAATCGGCAAAGACGTTCTCGATCAACTAGGAGGCCAGGTGGTGCGATTCTTTAACTCGTTATTGTAGTTAACGGCAATTTCGTTATCGTTGCTTTTATACGGTATACAAAAATTGCGCAACGATAACGAAAGTGTCGTTAACTCCGATAACGACCCAAATAGACAAAAAGATATCTTGCAATGTCTTGAGATATCTTACATTTTTTCCGAAAAGACATCCTTTAGATGTCCGTAGATATCTTTTAGAAATTCTAGAAATATATCTTCAACTAAATCTATTTAGTTATCTTCTAGACAACTTCTACACATCCTTTAGAAATGTCTTGAAGATATCTCTTCTAAGACTCTCCTATGTCTACAAGATATCAATGTTTACTGGGGAGTTACAGAATTGCACCACAAGTCTCGATGCCTCGACACTTCATACGAGTTCGTCAATCAGCCGACGCGCGTCGTTGAAGTTTCGTCGACCGCTTCGTACGCGCAACATCCCGTGAGAAATACGTGTCATAGGCCAGGCAGCACGAGCAGCAGCCAAAAGCCGTCTCGAAAACGTCTCAATGAACCTCCTCACTTTGGCAACCCGGCAAACGTCTTTCGAACACTTGTGTGCCCTCCCATGTCCCCGAGAGGTGCTTCGGTAAACGAGCAATGAGAGCGTCGAAACGCAATCAACAGCTTGCGATCGATAGCGCGACATATGCACGTCTCGACACGTCGCGTTACTCCCGGCGATTAGCCGGCTGTTCGCTGAGAATCGACCGCTCGGTAAGGATGCGTGACACCTGGTGGGAAATCCGCCTCTGGAATGCGCGCGCGACCTTTTAATTGTCTCCTTCGCTCTTTCTCTCGTTATCGCGACGAGCTGTGTTTTGCGTCGCGTGCATCGCTCGCTCGCTCGTTCTTTCTTTCTTTCCTTCCTTCCTTCCTTTCTTCCTTCTCCTCTCGTGCGTCCTCCCACGTGCAAATAAGCCAACTAAGCGTGTACCTTGCATGACAGTGGCGGCGTTCCATATCCTCGATGCTTCCCAGAGCAGTATCGCGGTGATAAGGATGATCGCGACACGCCACCGGAAGCTTCCCAACGCCATCGTCATCGCAGGCCTGTCGGTCGCGCGTCGACTCCTTCGTTCGCTCCTTCGCTCGTTCGTTCGTCCGTCCGTCCGTCCGTACGTACGTCGACGGCCTCGTTGAGTGGCCGACGAGACCAGCTGACGCAACGAGTCCTAATGTCAAACGCTGCGATCACGGCATCGCGACGCGGCCGATTGCGAACGTCGGTACGTCGGCCTCCCCGGCCGCTCGATCGTCCCGAAGCTACTCAGCATTCTATCGTTCTAATGGGATCTCACGCCCGTGTCGTCGCGTTAGATGGTCCCCTCTTGTTGCCTCACCCTCTTCCACTTCTCGCGCCACGACCGACGAGGTTATGCCGCGCGCACTGCGTTCCCTTGCGCCGCATAACCTCACTTCACCTTTTTTCCTTTGGGTTTTCTATCGGATTTTCTATCGCATACGCGTACAGCGAGTTGCCAACCTCACGCACAGGTCCACTCTCTAGACGTGTTTCTCAATGAATCACGTGGGTCGAATCTGTCTGATATAAAGCTTTGATACTTCTGGGGAAATATAATGTACTCATGATGTTTAAGCCGGAACAACGCATTTGGTGTATGATCTTTCCATAATCTGCTCGACTGGTCAGAATTTTTCGCACAGTGATTAAGTCGGTAGCTGGGGTCTTGTTCACTTTTACTTTGGCGGTGTTTGAATGAAGAAGTAACATGGAAAAATTGAAATTTTATAAAATATATATACACACACACACACACACACACATATATATATATATATATATATATATATATATATATATATATATATATATATATAGGAAGAAACTATATAGAAGTTATTTGTACACTTGCATATCTATATATGTATGCATGTACCCACACATACATGTTTATATTATAAAAGAACCTATGTTACTATGGTATACATTTATTCTCCTAAATTCTGTAACTCGTCGATGAATGTTATGCATTTGGTCTTGAGTACTTTAACAGCTTCTTTGAATAGCACAGCCGACGGTAACGCTCCCAGAGTTTCTACAGTGACTAAAAATCAAGATAAAGCACACGTCAAGGAGAAAGAAGCAAAAGATTTATAAATTATTCCATCGTGTAATTTTCAACGAATTATATGTGCACTTTGCACACTGCAAAGTATCACTTTGACTTGAACTGATCCCTCTCTCTCTTCCGTCCTGTTAATTTTCTATTTATTTATACTCACAGATAAAATGATCCGGTACCCGAGTTAGTTTCACACAATCCTTGAGTTCAGGGTAGCGAAAGACATTCCTGGAACAGTAGTCGTAGCGAGCGCTCTTCACTAGTGCTTCGCGTACGCTCTCACCTTCTTCAGTCTTTCGTTCGACTACCTCAATCACGCCTGGGCTGAAGCAACTTTTTAAAAGATCCGCTTTCTTGCCTGTTACAGGCGTAAGCAACTCGATGTTTGGCAAGAGACGATACGTCGCGATGGCTAAACACATTATTATTATTATTATTATTATTATAAAAGTCTTTTCTAATTGATTCTACACAAGACAATGTATCTCTTTTTATGTGAAATGCTTTGTGAAATACACATACGAAGCAGAAATCGAAACCGATATAAAAAATACTTCTCATTGGTATTATAAAATACCTCATGCGGTATTTTTATCGTATCAAAATTTCTACAATATCGAGACGGATATTATATAAAAATGATGATATATATATAACCAGCATAAGATCGCCAGCAAAATAACTTTGATGCTCAGTTTTCTGATATATGGGAAGTATTTTCTAGCACTATTATTAAAAATATTTATGTAGGACCATTACGTACACAAGGGAGAGTATTTTGCGTGATCTTTGCTGATGCCTTTAAACGCGTGCATGTACACGTGAATCTCATGGCCAGGACGCATCTTAGATATCAATATATCGTTTTCTAATACGCCCAGTTGTTCTGCTCCATTTGGAAACATCTCTGCTTGCCGGCCTATCGGCACCCATTTGATATCTTTGCTGTAAACTGCAAACAGATAACATTGCTCATTTTGAGTTTTCCAATACAATCATATATTATACGACTTGTTAGTCTCTAACTTAGTCATAATTATATTTGTTATTATATTTAGTCATATTACAATAATTTATATGCATAATATATAACTGCAATGAAATACCACTGCTGTTTTTGTAAATTTCTTCTGGTAACTGAGAGTCCTGCGATTTTTGTGGATTTTTTGTACATGCGACTTTTAATTCGTATCTGAGAGTATCCTGATCACTGACTTCATCATCCTTCCTGCCATTGCTCGGTGGATACTCAAACAATCGAGGATCTGCCCGCAAAGGTATAAGGCCCAACCTTGAAGCAAAACATATTTTGCATTACATTTACTTTATATAAATAAAATGTACATATTTTATATAAATAAAACAAAACTTATATTATTTATAACGGTATAAATATTTATACTTTATACTTTTTCAAAATGTTAAAAAATTTATATAAACGTAATAACTGACTTATATTTCGGTTTATTTCTTTTACCTATGTGCAAGTACTTCATCTTGGACCACACTGGTATTATTTATAACATAAACTTTCTCAATAGCCATGCTTGGCACTTCGCTCAAAAGTATCCTACGAAAAGCATTGACCAATGCACTTGAACAACCAATCATATCAAATTCTAACACATTATCCTTGTCTTGCACTACTTCTATCCTCATTGTCTAAGAATAAAAGAAACACGTCAATTAATTAAATGCACACAAATATTATTCATGGTAAATCATGGTATTTTTTTGTATGATACACATGTTACCTTCTGAAATTTTTCCAACGGTAGTGCGTTTTTATCTGCTTCATTACGTACATAACCCATGAATTCGAAAGCCTGTCAAAGGAAATATACATTGGTTATATATCTATCAAAGTGTAAGCAAGAATATAAATATTAAGATTAAATATCTTTTGAGATTTATCTATTGCAAGCTAACATTTGGTATGTTATGTTCTCCTAAAACCATCTGCGGAGGCCTTTCTTTTTTCACTTGCTTCTTTTCTTGATTTTCCTCCTTCATTTTCTAATCTTTGCTTTAACAACTCGATGTCTACAAAAGCTAAAATTTTACACACATGTTAGTAATTTTCTTATTTTTATAGTGACTGTTAAACAATAAATGTAATTGATAATAATACCTCTCTTTTAAGTTAAAAGCGTTTTGAGTCACACGAGACGAAAGAGGTTAAATCTCCCGGTACACAACATGCCGATGCATTCGATATTTTTAAATATACCTTGGTGTATATATACATACATATATATATATATATACTAATCTAATAACATAGACTAAACGTTCCAGAGGAGTCTTCAAAACTTGATTAAAAAGAAGAGAAAATTAAGCGACATCTACAATAACAGTCAAAGTCATAAAATTCGCAAGACCAATCGTAGTCGGTTATTCTCTTTGCAGTTGAAGAATAAGCAATTGTAATTGGTCAATTTTCTTACGACCTTGCGTCTTGGGACTTTATAATTTCTATTGTAGATCCTGCTTTAAGCACTCTAGAAATGTTCTACCTGACAGCCAATCGGAATGTCCGACAGCTTGTACGATGCATGTATTGAGTATGGGAATAAATTTCCGCCCTTTTTGGAAAGACCTCGCTAATGGTACTAATTTCGTGTTTGATGGAATGGCTATACTTGTGTTTTGAAAGTGTATTTGTTGAGCTTTGAGTATCGCAGTAGTACCCTAATAGCACAGATGTCCAGAGTACGTCTTGAGGATGTCCTTCTGGGGATTTCTTCATCCTCGGGACGTCCTTAGGACGTCCCCAGGAGAATATGTGCTATCAGGATAGACATTCATTTGAAGCGTAAACATAATTTTGTTTTCGCGTCGAAAATGGCAATTTACCCCAACGAAGCAGCATTTGCGGGAAGTGTTGCTGCATTACTATATTCTGAAGAAAAGTGCTGCTGAAACGCATCGAATGCTTGTTGATATTTACGACGATCATGCTTCGTCGAGTACCACGTGCAAAGAGTGGTTTCGGCGTTTTCGAAGTGGTGATTAGAGTTTTAAAAGAGAAACGACCGGAATGGGATAATAGGCACAACAAGCTGATTCTGCTACACGACAACGGTAGACCCCACGTTGCAAAACCGGTCCAAAAATACTTGGAATGATTGATTTGGGAAATCTTGCCCCACCCACCGTATTCACCAGATATTGCTCCCTCGGATTTCCACTTATTTCGGTCAATGCAGTCGGCTCTTTCTGAAGAGCGGTTCACTTCTCATAAAAATATCGAAAAATGGCTTAATGAATGGATCGAGTCAAGAGAACCTGATTCTTTCTTCGAGGAATCCCGTTTACTACCTAAAAGATGGGAGAAAGTTGTCGCTTCTAATGGGGCGTACTTTAAATAAAATCATTTTGTATTTTTTTATTTAAATAAACGACTAATATTTAATTATATTTAACTTATATTTAAAACGGGCGGAAACTTATTCTCATGCTCAATAATATTATTAATAATATTAACAAACTTTAATAAAGATGATTACTTTGCTCTCAAAATTAATAAAGGTGACAAATAGCAACTAACTGGCACTAATGATATTATTAATAATATTATTTATTATTTATTTCATTCCAATTTATTGCACTAGTTCAAAGTTTTTCGAAATGAATGGACCTAGTCGAATTCACCATAAATCTATTTTCCAATAGAAAAATATACTTCCTGTATTTGCCGAAGGGGAAATTTTTCCACTGGACATCGAATTCTTTGCAAAACTTATCAAGAAGCTATTACAATCTCTAGTCTATAATTCACCACTTTTCTCACGAGTCTAATGCGTCGATTGGCTCTGAAGTCAGCTGAAGAATTAGCAGATTTTCGTAGAAAACATGAAAGACCTTGAAAAGCTAATCATTTTTTCGTGGGGGAACACTGGCCGTTTTCCAGCAAGGGTAACTTACAATGTATATATTGTCATATGTATTTTTATATTATAATGATTTATACGAAGAAACATAATGGAACCTGTAACAAAAGTTGAAGATAATATAATTAGGACTTTTTATATTTACATATCTTGTTAAAATAAATATCTTCATATATCATCCTCTTTCTACTTCCTTTCAGAATCATCTGTATGTAAACAATGCAATAATGTAATGGATCTTTTGAAAAATACTCATTTCTTTAATTGTTTTAGAACTATACGCTTATTACATAGATCCGTAAGATATTCATAGAAATAAGAATGACAAACCGTAATGCACTCTGGTGTTACACGAAGAAACTAAACTACGTTCCAACAAATACTTTACGCGGTGTAGCACAACAGTGTAATTTAGCGTGTCACAACTGGAAAACGGCCACTGTGTGTTACACAAAACCGAATTCGATTGGCTACGTATTATCCAATTATTTCCCACGACACACGTAGCCAATGGCTGAGTTTAACGGAACAAAAGAGTTCAGGATGACGTCAACAATATTGGTCCTTGCTGTTAGACCCCTAAATTTAGACCAATTACGTGAACGAATTACTCAACCGTTGTATTTTCCAAAGCCAATAAAATAGCTCGCTGTAGCACAGAGTTCCCTCCGGAAAATTACTGTTCCATCGACCAATCAGCACACCGTACGAGCTAGTCGCACGACGAATGAAGTGCCGCCGTCAGTCGCCACCGAGGGACGAGCGAAATCGCCCACGCGACTCGCTGTTCTACTTCTTCGGCGATCCGTGCCTGACGAAATCCGCTGTGCGCTGCATGTGCTGACGCCACAGTGCTGCTGCTACTATAGACAGGAGTGGGTAGGTCGCGTTACAATACACACAGCTACACAACGTCGCAAACTGTTTTTATAAATTGATATCACGACTGTGGGACTCGGTGTCTCGACGTTCCCCCGCGAGCCACATTTCTTCCTTCTGCCATCCGATCTTGGCTGAACGTGCGCGACAAGCAGCAGCAGCAGCAGCAGCCGCCGCCGGCCGCGTCGAGTAGGTGCCACTGGGAGAGAGAGAGAGAGAGAGAGAGAGAGAGGAGAGGGGCGAGAGAGTGAGCGGGAGAGAGAGAGAGAGAGAGAGAGAAAGAAAGAAAGAAAGATAGGTAGAAAAAAAAAGAGTGCGTCTGTGCTGCGCGCCCGAGAGAGTGCTTTGATTGTGCATCAGGTGAGTTACACGCGCTCGTCGTTCGCAAAACACCGCCGCCTCGCTCGCCACGTGATTCCGCCGACGACGCGATCGTTCGTCCATCCGTCCGTTTGCTCGCTCGCTCGTTCGTCCGCTCGCTCGCCCGCCCACCCGCCCGCGCAGCACGGCACGGCACGGCACGGCATCCTGATCGCTCTCGGGAGCGACGCACCTACGAGAACGCACCTCCGTTGTTGTCTCGGTGTCGATGCCGCAGCATCGAGAGCGACTCTGGCTGTGGCGCGCGCTGCTCTCTCTCCTCAGCCGCGACATCGTCCGTCGCTTCGAGCAGGTGCGACCCGATAGCGATCTCGCCATCATCGTTGCGCCCACGTTTCGTCGGCGATGGCGTGCGCTCGCGGGGCCATCGGAAAACATCGCCATGCTTGCGCGAGCGAGAAGAGCGGCCGAGCCGACCGGGCGCAACCGCGCTCGCTCGTCTCCGCGCGCGAGATGTGCGCGAGAGAGCGAGAACACCCGTGGATTCGCGACGAGAGTCTCTCTGCCTGCGTTCCCCACGATTCCTCTGCTCTGTCTTTCTTCCTCTCGCGGGTCCTCTCGCTTTCGTTTTGTTTCGCGTCGCTCCGCGGACGTCGGAAGACGGTTTCGCCCGGAGAGAAGACGATTCAGCAACACAATCAGGGGAAGAACGAAAGAGAGAGAGAGAGAGAGAGAGAGAGAGAGAAAGAAAGAAAAAGGAGTGAGACACGTGCTGCACGAGGGATGTATGTTGGCTGGTCAGGTTCAACGTTGTTCTACGCGGATTCGTTGATCCTTGGCCAGAGAGAGACAGAGCAAGAAGATGAAGAGGAAAGGGGTAGGGATTGGCTTGGAAGGGGGGGTACGGGGGCGGTAGGAAGACCGAGAGAGAGAGAGAGAGAGAGAGAAAGAAAGAGATGGCATCGCGAAAATTTTGCCATGCGCTCCGCCGAGCTACGCGCGTCGCCAGTTCCTTTGTGTGTTGCCGCACGCAGTATCGCTCCGATTATTTGCGCGCAACGTAATAAGACGGGTTTTCGGCTCTCTCACGGATCGCTCCGGCCACCGTGACATTTTTCAGCGGCGTCTCGCGGGGATCCTCGTGCGCGAAGGAAACCGAGCGTCCGCGTGTGAAAATTGAACGATTAACATTACTCGCTGCTGTCTGTCCACGGTAAATGTACACAGCGAGCGAGTATACGTTATGATGTCCTTTGCCTCGAAATTCAGGCGCTCGCAGCGCGCTCCTGTAGCCACCGAGTCGTTTGACGAGCCAGTTGGCGATTTAAAAATCGGCCAGGAACGGGTTAATGAGACACTCGGGAGTTCAATGTGTATTTATGTATGCGGGATCTAAGACTGTTTTTTCTGGGGTGTTTTTTTTCTCTTTTCTCCATCAATGGCATTATTTAGTATTACTGCGGAGTTATTTTTGCGCACACGATCGACTGTTGTATTGTACAAAAGAGTTGTAAGCATTTTATGTTTTTGATATTTGAGGATACTGTGTGTGGGTGATGATTGAGGATATTTTTCGGGATAATTGTTCGAGTAAGGAGACTGATGTGTAGATAGTGGGAAAATTTCTATTCACATATCTGATGCTTACTTTTATACATATAGCTAGTATATGTATGTAGTCATAGTATATGTAATGCATATCCTGCTGTTCGTCTCAACATTGTTGTAATGTTGGAGCTACTTTTCAACAGTTTGACAAACAAAGAATTATGATTAATGACTTTAATGAGCCGCAGAGGTTTTAATAGATATTTGAACATTTTTCTTTGGCAAAATATCGAGCTTGTTTTTATACTCTTAAAAAGAAGCATTTTTTTATAATCATGTAAAAAGCTTCAAAGCAGAGCAAGCTACAAAATAAATCCAGATAATGAAATTTAAGAGGAAATGACACGGATGTACTAATCAAAACAAGTGTGTGACATCATTTTAAACAAAGACATTAATATTTTCGGCTAGCAGAGAATTTATATTGATTGAGAATTTATTTAATTGAATTTATATTGATAGAAAATTTATATGTTTATCTGATGCATAATATTATCACCGTAAATAATTATTCAAATGCAATGGTCGAAGATCATTTGATTTATATTGGGTTGACTTGTTTATTTAAACTTGGCTGCTACTCATTATTCATGGAAAAAGTTGCGTGTCCACTTAGAAATGTAAAAACACGTTTATTAAACACATCTTATTAAAGAACGTTTCTTCAACTTTTTTTTCAGCTGTTCTCCCTGCGAGTCTACACCTGTGACTCATACACCTGTGTCACTGTTCTTTTATAATCTCTTACTTTTACTCCTCAATAACATGGCAATTGCGCAATGATGTTCTAATGAATGCAATTTTCTTTGTTTCAGACATTTGCCTTAATAATTTTAAGACTTTCCAATCGAAGATTTATTTGCTGTTGGAAGCGAGATATCAGCTTTAGAAGTTAGACAGTAAGAAGATGGTCATGGAGGCAACCCCTTCTCCGCAGAGTGTCGGTCGTGAGTTTGTCCGACAATATTACACTTTACTGAATCAAGCTCCAGCCCATCTTCACAGGTATTTGATTTTTTGTACAGGCGTTTAAATTGAATTTATGATACCGATCAATATTCAAGAGCTATAAAACTGTTGAATATCATTCGCTCACAATCAGCGTATATTTCTGCCAATCGGATTTGTTCTCGAAAAGTCGATGACTTGGTCGTCCGAGGAGTACGACTCATTTGACGCTTTATTCGACTTCAGAGTACAAATTTTGTTCACACGTGGATTCAATGATGTCAATATGTAGATAGAACGCCTTGAAACGTCTAATGATTACTACCTTATGTTATTCGAGCACTATCTATATGTCATGTTTCTTATCAGTTGAAATGGCGCACAAGTTTGAATGTCATGCCCAGCGGGCAATTTAAACGTTGCGATGATTTTGCTTAATTTCTGTGTAATTAGATTCTACAATCAACATTCTTCCTTTGTACACGGAGGACTAGATTCCAACAGAGAATCTACACCGGCGATTGGTCAGAAGCAGATCCACCAAAAGATCCAGCAACTGAACTTTTGCGACTGTCACGCCAAAATAAGTCAAGTTGACTCCCAGCTTACTCTCGAAAATGGAGTGGTTGTGCAGGTAAACGGCGTCAGCTTGATCTAAGTTTAATTGAAAGAGGATCTTCGTGTACGATTGCGCTTTATCTGTTGTGATTAAATTAAGATATCAATTTTTAATTATATATATATATATATAAAGCGCGCGGAGACGTTGCTGTGTATTATCCTTGTAGTAACGTTAGAATCTCGTTTAATAGCAGATAAAACTACTGGTGATAAATTCTTAGTAGACTTATCTTTAGATAAGTCTTAAGTAAACGTAATGCTCAATAATTCAATTTATCAATGACAACCGTACGTTTGTTTCAACTCGCTCGCAAGACTTGCATTTTTATGGAAGAATTGTGTACTCGTTGCTCCCAATTGTAACAATTTCTAATTATTACAATTTTACTAGCATCTTTAGATATCTCTCGACGCAATTTACCAACGTATTCTCAACTACTCGCTTCCGACTGTCTCACAGGTGTCGGGAGAATTGTCGAACGCTGGCCAGCCGATGCGTCGGTTTACTCAAACCTTTGTGTTAGCGATACAAGCCCCGAAGACTTATTACGTCCATAACGACATCTTCCGCTATCAAGACCTGATATTCCCCGACGAGGAGGAGGCCGACGGCGTAGGCGGCGTGGAAGGCGGCGAGAGCGGCGAGAGAGAAGTGGAGGAGAGTGGTCGATCCGAGCCTGAAGAAGACGAGCATCCTACTCAGGCTCAACAGCTGTCGGCAGCTCCGGCTGCAGCCGCTCCCGAGCAGCAAACTCAGCCGCCACTCATCCCGACGCAGCAACCGCCGCTTCAGCAACAACCGCCGATGTATTACGGTGGATTGCCAACTCCATCGCCACATGTTAGTGTAACAAATATGACCGCTACGTAGTTCGCACTAGTAGTTCGGCTTTGTTGGAGATTGCAGTTTATACATTGCGCGCCAACTATTGCTAAGCTACAAATGATGATGAATGTGGGATATTTTACAAGGGAATCTTTGCAGAAAGAGGAACGTTGTATCTAGGTGCTCAGCATTGCGAAAAATATTTCTTGTTAATGTGCGGCAATGTATAGACTTTATCGTCGCTTCTTATATGTTCTTGGTTTCTTCATGGATGGATAGGGATTTTAGAATGGTGATGTTTGGTGAATGGTGGTTGACTTTCCGATGTTATAAAAGGAAACTTTCTTCAAAAATTGCAGGGGTTGTGCGTTGTTGTGAAAGATTTTAGATTGGAAGTATAATTTCAGACTTTAATTTAATTAAACTCGTATACGTTTTAATGTTATATACAGCTGTATATACATACAATTCAGGTTCATCCGGTGATGCAAGTATTGAACGGATCGGTACATGAGGAAGCGTCGTTGATGAACCAGCAGCCGCCGCCGCAGCAACAGCAACAGCCGCCGCCGCCGCCGCCTCCGACCCAGCAACATCAGTACATAGCTGAGCCGGCCGCGCAGACTCAGTTCGTGAAGGAGAAGGAACGCGACGGCAATGGCGAGCAGCCGAAGCAGCAGCAGGTCGAGGATGAGCCGCAGGCTCAGACGGAAGAGAGAAGTGAGAAGCCCGAAGGTGAAGCCGCGTCTCCGAAGGAGGCCGGGGCGGAGCCGGAGCGTCCAGTTTCAAACACCGCTGTAAACAGCAACGGACCCAAAACATACGCGAACTTGGTAAAATCTTACCCAAGCACCACTGGTGCTACTAGTCCTCAAACTCCTAAACTACCTGCTTCTCCGGTAAGTTTTGTTTCCTGTCATGTAGATACAGACGCGATTTCCCGAGTAGACGAGGTGAGCAAATCCTGTTTCTTCCTTCCTTTTTGCAGCCGCCAATGACGAATTTACGCTTGGACGACAGGACGCCGTTGCATCCTGCGAACAATGGATCCACACTGTCGGTTACAGGCAATGTGTCCACAACTCAGCAGCAAGTGCACCGAGTGGGGAATCAACCTACGCAACAGCAGCAGCAGCAGCACCCGCAGCAGCAACGAGTACCGAGGGGAGGATTGGTACAGAGAGGTAAAGAGAGAGAGAGAGAGAGAGAGAGAGAGAGAGAGAGAGAGAGAGAGAGAGAGAGAGAGAGAGAGAGAGAGAGAGAGAGAGAATGAGACATCGTGGCTATCCCTTGTTTCATGTATGATAAACACGAAATTTTTCAAGTCATAATGATTACTATAAACGCGCTTCAATCGTTTATATATATATATAGAAATTGAATACTAAATAAAATTTAAAAATATTCAAGTTTGACGAAAAAGATGTTAAATAGAATTAAGAGTTGGGTGTATATCTAAAACAATCACCGAGCGGTTTTGTGTTCCCGAATCGAAAATTCGACGGTCGACGCGTATTTTATTTCGTTGGCATCACATTTCATTTCTGTTAACGTATATACGATTGCGTCGCGAATATAAAACAATGAGCAGCAAAATGTTTGTCAGCGTTCGTTTTAGTTTTCGATCTGGTTCGCTCCCGAGGAGATGTATCAAAAAATAGATACGCACTTCGGTTTGTTTGTTCGCTGTTCGTTCGCTCAGTGTATACGCACCTTATTAATAAATGCCGAATAATTCATAACAGTGATTCTGGCGAATGACTAGTGATACACTCTTTCATTTTACATTCATTAATTTTCCTCAACGTGACGAACAAAATGATTTCTCAGATGGGGAGAGGCGCGGTACAAGACCAGGACAATACAGCGACGCTCATCAACTCTTCCTGGGCAATTTGCCGCATAATGCATCCGAAAGCGACTTACGCCAGGTATTCGAGCGTTACGGAAGAGTTGCGGAGCTACGCGTGCACAGCAAATCAAATGACAGGTGCAAAGGCCCACAAGGCGGGAACAATACTGCACGAGTGCCTAATTACGGATTTATCACATTCGAGGATCAGCAGGTTGTTACCAAGGTCTTGAACTCTTTGGTACGTTCGCTTTCCTTCTTGAGTATTTGTAATCAAGAACGCGTTCGATCAGAGATGAGAAATTTGCTCATCGTTGTTGTCGTTTCAGCCTATCTATTATCCTGACGAGAGTGGACAAAAATTGAACGTGGAAGAGAAGAAGGTGAGGCCTAGGATGTCTCTGGACGGCAGTGGTGGTAGATTGAACTCCGGGGACGGTGGCATACGTTCCATGGGTGGACAGCAGCAGCAGCAACAGCAGCAGCAGCGTGGCCCAGGTAATGTCGCTATCTCGCTGTAAGTTCGCAAAGGATACGTTCCTTTATTCTCGACGCATTCGCTGGTTTAAATACTTTTACCTCGGAACATCCCTGATTATCACACTTGGAACAAAACGCGAACGCACACATCTTTGTCTCTATCTATATAGCCTACATATATGTATCGTAATAAAATATCTGCTACATTCACCGAATGTAGCTTCTTATATTCTAATTTGCTAAAATAAATTGTACGATTTAATTTGCAAAATTTTCCAATTTACCGAACATTTACATTCGACCGAGTAATTCTTCGTAATTCTTCTCGATTTTATCGAAACGATTTCGGGTCCATCTAAATGAGTTATTCGTTCAACATCAGGCGGGCCTGGAGGTGTGATGAGAGGCGGACAGCACGGGGCGCGAGGCGGACGTGGAGGTTTCTCGCGGGGCGGCGACGGCGGCAGGGGCGGTGGCGGCATGCGGCAGCCCGGCAATCCGAGCAACCCTGGCTATCAAAACCGTCGCTAATACCGACCACAGTACAGAACAGATGCATCCCACAGTTCCCTCCCTGCTGAACAAAAGTCACCGGTACCAACGCGCATCTCTGACCATCCACCTCACAAGAAAGAGAACCCAGGACTACTTCATACGCCGCACGACGTCGTCACCGGCGCCCTCATACGCTTAAACGTCGCTTGCAACGTACGTGAAGCATCAACAGCGACGGCAACTACCGTTGACACCAGATGACGTTCAAGATGGAGCCGTACGAAACGAAGCACGAGCTCGAACACAAACAAGACAACATCGTGACCGCGCGCGGTTTCGTCGACAATCCCGGACACTCGCGCCGCTTACACTCGCTAATCCCGAGCTTATTATGGTGGTGCGTTAACCCAAGTAACCCGTCGTCAGTTCGCCAGCCAGTTGACCGATGATCGTCGGTTCGAGTTCGTCCTTTGTACACCGCAGGCAATCCCGCAGGACTTTGCGCACGCAAGACCCGCAGAATACGTAAACGTACGTGCGAGGATCTTACAAGAAGAAACGTTGCCGCATAAGTAAAGTGTAAAAAATTTGCGCGGGAGACTCTCAGTGAACGAGGAAATGCGACGGACGCGATCTGAGGTTGGAACTCTTGCGAGGTGATTTTGGAATGTCGCGTAGCCACTTCTCTTTACCTCTCTTTCTCTCTTTCTCCCTACCTTTTCTTTTGATCGGGTCAACGGTGTCAAATAGAGTCGCGCTACGCGCCTTCCTGCAGCCTGCGCCTATTGCGGGACGAGAGGCGGCGCGCACAACACGCACTGTAGGCACTGACGGGCGAAACGAGACGCGACCGTAGCGAAGGAAGGAGGTTGCCGCGAGTGTCGTCGAGCTGTTGTGTTCCCGAGTCGTCGGTTTCCGAGTCGACGAGACGTTCGCCGTTTCTGCGCGTGCAAGTTGCAGCAAGTTGCGACGAACGGGTCCTCCGCCACCTTCAACGGAAGCACGTGCCTGAGACTGTGTCATGACCCGCAGATTGCAAGCGATGTGAACGAAGGAATAAAACGAAGGAAACGTGACAATCGACTTCTTCCTCCTCGTAACAGTCGCTACTCGCCGAGCGTCGATCCGACCGGTCGCGGCGATCAGTCGCGGACCGGACGACCTTCTTATCTCAGTCCGCAACAAATTTCTCCTCCCCTACGGGCGAGCCTGGGGCCCGGAGTCACTCGTCACCCACCACCAACCCCGGTGTATGTTCCGTTTTTCATGTCCATCCCCCTCCGTTTCTTCCTTGCTTCCCTCCCCTCCCTTCTTTTCCCCGCGCTCATAATCCTCTCCGGTAGGAGAGCGGTTGTACCCTGTCTCCTCCTCTGGTATTTCCTCGTGCTGATAATCCCTCGTCTCTCGCAGTGTCTTTGGCCGGTGTTCATGGTCGGATCTTGCACTTGGAACAAGTCGCACCTTGTGTTACGACGCTGTGCAAGCGATAATCCCGAGCGCAAGGCTCGGACCGTGAATGCCGTCCTTTCTATTCTAGTATCTATCTACCTCCCTTTGCTCCTCCGCGCACACGTACCGCCGCCTTCGTCGTTCTCTCGAACGAAGTCTGCGGAGAAGACGGATATTTTATCGGAAATCGTGTACGCGCAAGGCGTCAGATGTGTATGTGTCGCTTGACACTCACCGCGATATGAACGGTAAGCCGCGTGCGGCTGTGCTCTGCGACGCGCCGTCGTTCTATATCGCCGATTTGCGAACTGCGACCGGCAGGAAATGTGCCCGACGCAGCGATGTGAGACTCTCGCTCTAGAGACTATAAATATATGCATATGTATATATATATATGTATATATATATATATATATATATATATATATACATATATATGTATATGTGATATATATATATGTATATATATATATGATATAATATATAACGAGTATAATATAAGAAAAGTATAAAAACAAAGAGGAAAAGAAAGCAAAATTTAACATGTATACGCATGACTTTCTCGAACGAAGCGGCAGACAATTGGCCTTGTTATCATGACAATTCACGATTAGTACAACTTAAGTAACATTATATAGTTACATTAGTGTGTTATTATTTTTTCTTCTTCCTATGTTCCTTCGATACGTTCCGGCGATTTGTTGTAGATGTATATATGCGTACACACACGCACACACGTCGCGAGACACATGTCGCGCCGCGACACACACAAGGGAGAAAGAGAGAGAGAGAGAGAGAGAGAGAGAGAGAGAGAGAGAGACGTTGAACTTGATGCGTTGGAGACAGTTTCGGTATTCTCCTTTGTTGTTGTGTACAGTGTGTCCCAGTACGTACCAAATCGCCGCGTTGCACCGCTCCGAGGAACACGTTCCGGGGCGACGTCGTGGAACGTGGTCGCCGGGCATTCTGCGCGACTTCCTCTCGAGATTCACCCGTCGGCACGGCGCCGTGTGTCCACGTGGCTCTCCCGTCACGGGGCTTTGCAATCGATGTTGGTCATGTTTGTTGTTGTTATTGATATCGGCTCTTGAGAGAAGGAGCTGGTCGCGGTTCGCGATTCGAGTGTGAGGCTGGGGCCAGGGTCAGAGGTGCTGGAGCTTGAGCGTTGCGGACGGAAGGATTGGAATTTTACTGCTCAGGACGAAACGAGGTCCGTCTAACTTTCCACGTGAGAGTGTCGCGAACGTACGGTGGCAAAGATGGGACTACGTGACGAGACTATCGTGGAAAGTTGCGGAACAGCCTGAAGTCGGGGGGGGAGGGGGCGAGGTCTTCCAAGTTCCAGCGCTTGCTCTGACGCCGGCCTCGCGTGTTATTTGTATACACGGAGAGAGAATGTTTCGTGTCTTTTATTGTTCTTTTGTACGAAATCTTTTTGAATTTTTAGTCTTTCTCGCTAGTGACGTAGGAATTGAGTCGTTGTCTCGTTTCGTCCGTTGGTTTGAGAGTTTGCCGAGGAACATGTTACGTTTTTCGAACGGTGCGTTCGGTTCCTAAGATATAAATAGCACCGCTGAGACGACGGAGGGTTAACGAGCCAATCGAGGCTGAATGTATGTTCCTCGGTGCCCGCCGCCCTTCTCCCAAAAAAAAAAGAAGAAGAAGAGTCTGGTAACTTAGCGTAAAATTCTCCGTGTATATATGCAATATCGCATGCGGCGTTTTCCTCGAGGCGCTGTGTGTTTGAATTTTTTACCGTTGTCGTTATTGTTCGTTTGTGTTTCCCCACTTGCGATCCTACTCCGACGAGAGCGGAGGAATACGTTCTGCAGTGTCTTCTTCGCACGTGGCTCTCTCGTGAGGCGCGAGTTGAGACGTATTCCTCGACACCCCGCTCGTCTCTCTCTCTCTCTCTCTCTCTTTCTTTCTCTCTCTCTCTCTCTCTCTCGCCGGGACCGGGAGGAGACGATCGAGGCGACGGATTCGCTCGCGTTCGAAATGGAGGAAACTTGCGGGAAGGGCGAGCACGCGCGAGGGAGAAAACAAGAGCGAGCGAGCGAGCGAGCGAGCGAGCGAGCGAGAAAACGAGAGAGGGAGAGGGAGCGCAAAGATTGTTACGCATTTCTCTCATTGCTCACGTTCAGCAGGGAAAGCTGCTTTATATAATTGTTGCGAAATTCGTGAATCTAATTGGCTCTGAACTTTGGCTGAACCCGAGAGCATCCACCCACGGTCAGACCCAAAACAGAACTGAAAATCATGATGATACCGAAATGACATGAAAACGACGAGAGAATGACCGAATCCTGATGCAAAACTGAGTTTTCTTCGTCATTTTGACGTCATCACGATTTTCCGTTCTGGCTGGGGATTCATGAGTTTTACAACGCAGGTTGCAAAGCGGCTTCCCCTACGTAGCCATTGTCCTGATCGTGGAAATTGTCACACACGTAGATCATGGCGCACGGGCACGATGTCCTGTCTGCGACCGGTCTGCGATCGGTCTGCGACCGACGAAAAGAGAAAAGGAGAGACGCACGGCGCGATCGCTGGCCGCCGATCGCTCGGCCGGGCCGCGTCCGCTCTTGAGGCTGCCGTTTCCCCGTTTAAACGTTCAAACGCGCCGAGGATCAACCGCCTTCGCGGTCCGAACTGTCCTCGATTGTTCTTCCCGGCCCGATGGGCCCGTGGAGACTCGTTCAGCCCGCGACGACGTCGCGACGTTTTCCTCGATGCAGTGTCGACGCAGTGTCGAGCATTTAACTGAACGCGACCGCGCTGATTCACACGCTGATACATGTACATTGAATATTGACGAATAAACAGTTGCGGTTTGCAGAAGGAAACGCGACGTGGTCGAGGCGGACGCTGCGGAGAGGACCGCGGAGAGTTGACATCGCGCGTCTCTAGAATCTGCACACGTGCACGCGCACATGTCCGTGTCCGTGGGTGGGTGTTCCGTTTCCTTGGGGATGACGACGACGACGACGAGGATGGTAACCCAGGCAGAAGAGAAAATCGTGATGGCATCGAAATGATGACGTCAACATGATGAGGGTAATTTTTTTTCATCATGATTCGGTCATTTTTATGTCATCTCGATGTTATCTTAATGTTATTTTGATCTCGTTATCTTGATATCACTTTGATGTCATCATGCTGTTTTATTCTGCCTGGGAATATAGCGGCGGTGACGCCGCGACGCGGCTCTCTCTTGCCGCGATTCGCACGCGGATCGGAGAACGCGGATCTCGCGCGGTCGAGCTTCTTCTTCGGCTCTCTCCTATCTGCAAGTGTACTCAGCGAGCGAGAAACCGACGAGCGGCGTCGTCCTCGCAGCCGCTCATCACGTCCCGATCCGTCCCACACCCAAACAGAACTGAAAATCACGACGATATGAAAACGACGACATCATGACGACGAGAAGATGATCGAATCGTGATGCAAAACTGACTTTCTTCATCATTTTGACGTCATTTTGATGTCATCATGATTTTCTGTTCCGGCTGGGCAGCCCCCTCTGCGAAGCTCTCCCTCCCCTCACTGTTCCCTTCACCCGTGAGAGGCAGCTTTATATTCCGTTATAGATAGTAAACGC